ACAACTCTGCGTTTTCTCTTCCAGACATCTCTTTCAGGAAGTTGTCACTGCTTGACCTGCAGAATCCAAACTGTTTTACAGCTCAGAATGTGTTCAGGCACCTGTAAATCCCTGAAAAGCATTCTTGTGGTAGGAAAAGGGAAATAGTAAATGAGCTGTGTCTTAATTGCTTATTCACTTCCTTTTATGATGTTTGCTCTGTGTGCTGGGAGGTTTATTGCTGCTCCAAGGCAAGTCACTACCAGGGAAGGATCTTCAGCTTTGCCTCTCTTTTTTTTAAAGGTTTAAAGCTCTTAACATCAGTTTGGGTTAGTTAAAAGCTGCACAATGGGGAGAAGTGGATTTTGAAGAGTTGGTGACATTTAAGATGAAACTGTGATTGTTTCTTAATTGACTTGTGGGATTTTTCCCTTTTCATTTCTCTGTGTTTCCTCAGACTCAGAGGAAGAGGTTTTTGTGCGTAAAAAGGCAAAGAGCAAGAAGGTTCTGCAGGACAGTGACAGTGAAGATGGAGAAGACAGAGGCTCATCCATGCAGGAGGATCCTCTGGGTGGAGAGCAGGAGAACGGGGAGAAGGAGAACATTTCTGCCCAGAGGGACAGGAAATCCCATCAGATTCGCCAGGCACTGCTGGACAGTGATGACAGTGACACTGGGGAGCAGCAGCAGGCTGAAAACCTTGGGACAAGCAGGACATCTGGCTTGCCTGAGGCTGAGCTGGAAGAGGAGAGACCCCTAAAATCTGGGAAAAAGTACAGGAAACATAAACACAAACACAATGTTGAAGAGGAGATGGGAAAAAAAGCTGCAGGGAAATCCAGAAGGAGGAAGGAGAAGGAGACGAGAACGGAGTCCCTGAAACAGCTGAGGAAAGAGGAGAAGCCTGGGGCAGAGGTGGGTTTTGGGCAGAAAACCTCAGGTATTTTCTCAGCTAAGTGCAGTTTCTTGTTGCTTGTGGTTATTCAGTTCCAATGCTCCTGTGCTGTGGTGTTCCCATTCCTGCAGCAGGTGTGGGATCCACAGGGATCCATGGAACACCACACAGGCCTAACCTGCAAAGTTTGCAGATCAGTTTAATTTAAATTACACTACATTTGCAGTTCAATCTGCCAGGAAAGTACAAACCCTAATGCTCAGTGATTTAAAGTCATTTTAAGTGAATGTCAAAGGACCTTCTGAAACGGATCCCACAAGTCCTTTATTCCTCTGGAAGCAGGTGGATGGGGGTGAGAGGTTTCCCTTCAATGACAGTGGATGTCTTCTGGATGACAAAGACCTCTTTGACAATGGATTGGAAGAGGAGAGTGACCTCCCCCCTGAGGATGAGGAGTCATTGGAGTCAATACGAGCAGCAGTGAAACACAAGATGAACAAGTATAAGGTAACAGCTGGTGGTGATACAAGATCATTGTAAATCTGCTCTAACTGACAGAGAGGAGGTTCAGGTTAGATGTTAGGAGGGAATCCTTCCCTGGGAGGTGCTGAGGCTCTGGCACAGATTGCCCAGAGCAGCTGTGGCTGCTCCATCCCATGGAGTGTTCCAGGTTGGATGGGGCTGAGATAAATTATTGAATCTCTCCTTATGCCCTACAGAACAAAGAGCGTTTTCCTGAAGGTGAAGGCTACAAACATGTATTTCAGGAGGAGGAGGAGCCTGTGATAAAGGAACCCAAAAGGAAGGTGAAGGACTCTTCATTTTAAAGCTTTGTTTGTTGTTGTGACTCCAATGGGTTTGTTGATTTGCTGTGTCTAAGATTGGTTTAACTGGCTGCTTTATTCTGACATCTTTCTCCTGGAAAGGAACCAATAAGCTCTTTAGAAAGTAGAGGTATTCCCATGTTTTGTTCCCTGACTCCAAAGCCTTTCTTTTCTTCCCTCCAGGAGAGGAAAGCAGCAAGGCTAAGTAAAGAAGCCATTAAACAGCTGCACAGTGAGAGCCAGAGACTTATCAGAGGTAAGACTGAAGTTCTCTGTGTGTCGAAGGGTAAAGTGTTCAGAAGTTGAGGGGAGAAGTGGAAAGAATCTCTAACAGTTAGAGCCTCCTTCCACCTCACTCGAGTTACTGAGGGATGCAAGACCTTTACTGAAGGACCTGTTCAGAGCTGGTCAAGACCTTTACTGAAGGACCTGTTCAGATTTGGTTTTGTAACTCATGCAAATAAAGATGCTTGTTATCAAATAAATGCCTCAGATGACATTTTGAATCCTCTCTCACCTCTTTTCTCTGCCAGAATCATCTGTGTCTCTGCCCTATCACATGCCTGAGACCAAGAGCATCCATGACTTCTACAAGCGCAGACCTCGCCCAGCGTGTCAGGGCAGTGCCATGGCCTTGCTGAAGTAAGGGCTGAAACCTTCCTCTTGGCTTTTTCAGACCTGTTAGGGGTCTCCCAGCTTTGTGTTGAGGGCAACTAGACTTTCTTAGGCTCCCTGAAGAGAGCTGTAAGTGGGAGGAGAGTCACTGCTAACACAAGGCAATGCTGCACTCTTGTCACCTTGATGCTCTTGAGGCAATCAGGGCTCAGGAGTAACTCAGCTGAAGGAAATTGCTCTTGCAAAGTCACTTTAATGAAGTTTAAGCTGGAGCCCAACATTTCACTTGGACTGTCTCTCCTTTGGAGTAGCATGTAGTTAAATGCTTAAGCTGCTGTAGTCACAAAATCCCTCAAGAACTTCATACTGTGATGATGTAACTAGTGCAAAGTCTTTACACTTCCTTATCTCCTCAAAATGAAGTTTTCCAGACCTCTGTCCTTCACCTCTCCCTGCACATCAATGACCTTCATTAGAAAACAAATTCTTTCTCTCTGAGTTTGTTCTCTTCTCCGTTTCACTCTGGTCATGGGTGATACATTTCTTTCTGCCTTCCTTAGGTCCTCTAAATACCAAGTGCCCCTGGCTGAGGACTCTGCAGGCACTGGGAACTCGAGCAGGGACTGCAGAGATGTGCCAGTGGAAGGGGCTCAGTCAGCAGCTGATGAGCCAGAAACAAACCTTGGCAGAGATGTTGATGCTGCTGTGACCAAACCTCTTGGTGCTGTAGGGAAGGACTTGCCAGAGGCCTGTGCTGAGCAGCCCAGGCAGGACAGTGATGACTCTGCTGCAGCTGCAGGGACTGCAACAACTGGTGGGAACACAGAGGAGCAGCAGCTCTCCAACCTCCTGAGCACTGACCATGGTGAGCAGGACAGCGAAATTCCTCCAGCAGCTGGAGATGCCTCTGAGCAGAGAGGGGAAACAGCACCAGATGCACAAGGTGAAACACACAGTCAACAAGTGGGGCCAGGGCTGGGGGCACAGCCTGAAAAAGTGAGGAAATCCAAGCTGGATAAGCTTCGTGAACTGGGAATAGACCTGTCCATCAAGCCAAGAATCTGCTCTGACAATGAGTCCTTCATAAACCTCGAGGAAGCTGAACCAAATAAAGGTATTGTAATCCTGTTGTATCTGCCCAAGTGAGCAGAGTTGGTCTGAGTTCAGCTGGGGAAACCTCTGAGAAATATTCATGTGATGGAACAGTCAGACACACTCACTTACTAGTGTGGGTTCCCTGAGACAAGAGGAGCTTGGAACTGCCTGGTGGCTTGGGTGGAAGGGAGTTGAGGTCTTGAGGATAAACTGTGATGGGAAGGTAATTTAGTATTGGCTAACACCAGTTAAACAGAAACTCCAGCAAGAACATCCTCTAAGGGTTTGTTATCAGCCAAATCAAATTGGTCTGGAAATACTTTAGTATTGAAGATTTTGTCCTTATGGAAAAGGAACTTTAACACTTCACTTTTAAATGCTCTGAAATGAGTTTGGTTGCCCTGTATCTACAGAGCTGGAGGCCCTGAAGGAAAGATTCCTGAAGCACAGTCTGGGAATGGCCAAACCCAGAGCCGAATGCACCATAAACGTGAACATCATCCGGAAGGAGACGACGCCGGATGGGAAGGAGGAGCTGAGAGCAGAGGTGGTGCCAGCAGTGCTGGCTGCAGAGAACCTGGAGGACACAGCCCATACAAAGCCAGGTTGGTGGGGCAGAAGTGATGAGGATTGGCTTGGAAACACTTTGCCTTTATTTCCCTTTCCAACGCTGTCCCATGAAACGCAGGTGAAGAGATCTCCATCTGTGTGTCCTCTCTAATGGACAGCTCTGTTTTAACAAGAAAATCATGGTGGAGCTCTTAAATAGCAGGTGGCCACTGTAGAACAGGCTCAGTCAGATCTTGGTTCCTTGGATTTCTCATGCTTCCCTGAGAAGCTCCATCCCTGGGAGTGTTCCAGGCCTGGTTGGATGGGGCTTGGAGCAGCCTGGGCTGGTGGAGATGTCCCTGCCCATGGCAGGGGTGGGACTGGGTGGTCTTTAAGGTCCCTTTCCAACCCGTCCCACGTGTGCCCAGGTGAGAAGCTCCAGGCCCTGAAGGCCAAGCTGCAGGAGGCCATGAAGCTCCGCAGGACCGAGGAGCGGCAGAAGCGACATGCACTGTTCAAACTGGACAATGAGGAGATGCTGGAGGAGGAGGAGGAGGAGGAGGAAGAAGAGATGACAGAGGAGTCTGAGGAAGAGGAAGAAGGTGATCATGAGGTTTGTATGCAACACTTTTCCAGAACCACATCAGTGTCTCTGTTCTGCTTCTCTTCCCCTTGGAATGTGGCTTTGTGCACTAGTCACTGGGGAGGTTGTCAAGAGTTCCTCCTAGGAGCTAAAACGTTGATGTAGTTGACATGTTCTGGTTTGGATTGCCTGGATCTGAGTTTATTAGTGTTTCCTTTGTCTAAACACTACTAAACCCAAATATAAGTGTACAAAGATTCTGATGCTGCTCCTCCTCTGACATCCTTGGTTCATGCTGCAGGGCCAAGATCACCCAGGGAGGGTTTGCCTTGGCAATCACCTTGTCTTGGTACATTGGGGATGTTTTTCAGGATTCAGAATTTCTCCTTGGGGAAGCAGAGGAAGATAATGAAGATACAGAAGAGAAACACATTGAGGACGGTGATAAGGAAACGGACAAAGAATCCATGGATGGGGAAAAGCTGGAGAAATCTGAGCACTGTGATTCTGTCCTCAAACTTCCTTCAGCAGAGTCTACCCTGCTGCTTTTCAAGGACAGTTCCTCAAAAATGGGGTAAATTAACTAAGTTCTTCACTTGCCTGAGTAATTTTACACAGATGTTTTTCTTTCAAGTGTCTTTCGTGGTTTTTCTGTATTTTTGTGTGTTACTTTGTCTCTTGCAATGGGGTTTGACAGACAATAGCAAATTCCTCCTGAATTGATGAGCAGATCTATTTTGTTTAATGAATTGCAGATCTTCTCTTCCTGATGAGAAACTGGAAATGGAAGAAACTACAGAGAAAGGACCTACCAAGTTGGGTAAAGTAGAATTATTAGCCTTATTTTTCATTGTAAATGATAATTAGGTATAATTTCATGTCATACATTTATAATAGTAGAGTAATATAATGATTATTATTTTGCTTCACTTGGCACATGTAGAAGTTTCTATCTGAGATTGATATTCAGTATTTTTATCATCTGTTTAGTTATTGTGCTTATAAAAGTTTAGCTCGATGGACAAAATGGGAGAGCTTGAAAAAACTAGAGGAAAATAAAGTTCAAACTAACACTGGAAACATATGAAATATCAGAAATCAGTAAGATGCAATTCAGCAAAGTGTGACCTGCGTCCTCTGAGAAACAAATCCAACATGGGCACGATTTTAGCAAGGATCAGTGCTGCAAGCTGTGACATTGAGGTCTGACTGTCACACACAGGAGAATCAAGAGGTTAAACACTGTTGTTTTCTTTCCAGAGGATGATGATTCGTCCTCTCTGCCCACACTGGCGAAGGAGAACAGCCACAACAGCAGCTTTGAGCTGATTGGGTCCATGATCCCTTCCTACCAGCCCTGCAACAAACACTCCTCGCGTGGAGGGACCTTCCTGCCTGCAGCAGGAGGCTTCAGGTCGCCTTCCCCAGGCTTCTTCAAGACAAGCTTTCTCAGCTCTGCTTCCAAGGTGAGGCCCTCAGCCCTGTCCTGAGCTATCAGGTCATAGCTTGACTCCTGCAGGGTCTGAGTCCTCCAAAACAGCTTAAATCACAGCATCCCAACTGGTTTGGGTGAGAAGGAACCCTAAAACCCCATCCAGTCCCACCCCCTGCCCTGGGCAGGGACATCTCCTACCAGTCCAGGCTGCTCCAAGCCCCATCCAACCTGGCCTGGAACACTCCCAGGAATGGAGCAGCCACAGCTGCTTTGGGCACCCTGTGCCAGTGCCTTTTGAATTTAGGCTGCAAAACAACTTCTGTGTTTTTATATTCCTTCAACTAGAGCTCGGGGAAGACGTCTGAGCCCTCTCTCCCCATAGAAGACTCCCAGGACCTGTATAATGCCTCTCCCGAGCCCAAGAGTTTGTTCCCAGGGGCTGGGGAGTCACGGTTTCAGTCTTCCCTGGAAGATGACACTCAGAGCCAACTGCTTGACTCAGATGGGTAAGGAGTGGGGGTAAAGGATGGTGTTTTGTCCCTGTCAACAGAAACAGGACATACAGACCAGCAAGATTGACTAACTCCAGCCTTTCTCTCAGGTTCTTGAACGTGGGTCAGCACAGGAGTAAATACCAGAGCCCGAAGCATCGGCTGCCCCTGGCCAGCATGGATGAGAATGCCATGGATGCCAACATGGATGAGCTGCTGGACCTGTGCTCTGGGCAGTTCAGCAGCCAAGTGGAGCATGTGCCAAACTCCAGCAGCAACAAAAAGCAGAACATGGAAGAACTCCTCAATCTCTGCTCAGGAAAATTCGTGTCTCAGAGTATGTCCTGAGTTCTCTTTTCAGCTTTGCTGGTTCCTTGGTTTAAAGCTTTCTGCTGAGCTGCCTCCAGGCCTGGGCACTGATGCCCAGTGTGGAATTGGGTCTTTGCTGTTATTTCTGGGATGTTGTCTGACACTTTCAGAGCAGAAATAAGTTGCCATCTTATTGCTTCCTGCAGCAGGTTCTCCAACTTGGGCATCTTCAGTGTCTTCCAAGGCAGGAAAAGACAGTGACATAGAAGATCCCATGGCAGAGGCTCTGGAGCTCTGCTCAGGCTCCTTTCCCACAGACAGGTTGGCGTTGCTCTCCCTAACCCTTAGAAAAACTCATAGTGGCAGTTCTCATTTCCTTCTTAGCCTGTTTTCCTGTCTGACACCGATTCAAACTTCTGTAAGCAAGTGTGGTTTGTCTTGGGGCTAAAGGAGAGGGATCCTGCAGGTTGCTCAGCCACCACTCTCTGAATGGGCAGCACAAACCATTTCCCACAGCTACTGTGAGGGGAAATTCCTTACCTTTCCCTGACGGGGAAGGAAACATTGAAGAAATTCCCTCAAACTGAGGAAAGATGGTTAAAGGTGGGACTTTTGGGGTTTGTGGCCAAACCACAGGAGCCTGAACCAAGTGTGTCAGAAGGACAATGAGGCTTAACAGGTGGGAATGTTAGGGGGATCCAAGAGGAATTTTAGAGGGAAACAAGCTTGGAATTTAGTACTTCTCACATGGTTTCTTCAAGTAAATGCCTTAGGTCTAAACTAGCAACACTAACAGGGACTTGGGGCATTCAGAGCTCAGTGCTGCTGGGGGAGCAGAGCTTGGAGCACTCCCAGGGAACTGCCTGGGAGCAGCTGGTGGGGGATGAAATTCTGCCTTGATTTACTGCAAAGCCATCATTGGAGGTGAAATGAAAATGTGCATTTCTCCCATTTGCTTCTCCCCTAGGGAAGAGGAAGAGGAGGAGGAGCAGGAGGAGGAAGAATTTGGTGACTTTCAGCTTCTAACGGACGATGAGGCCTGTGCGGGCGCAGAGGTGTGAGCTGGCAGAGCCAGGCAGCTACTGCAGCTCCTGCCTGGGAGAGTCCACCTCTCCTCCTCTTTGCTAATACAGCAATCCATGCAAAGTGCCACAGCTTCCGTAAGAAGCTACTGAGACATCCTTAAGAGCAAAGTTCGGCTCATTCAAAATGTCTCCTTAATATACTGATTTAGTGGATGATGCAAATCCTCTGCAAAGTCTCTGGTGTTTCCAATGTTTGTTGACTGAAGAACAGAAGGACTTGTCATTACAGAGCCAGAAATCCCTTGAGTTCTGAACCCTTTCTCTTTGGCAGGATGAGAAAAGTGGAGGTAGTGCTGCTGAAGAAGCAGAGACGAGTGATGAAGAGGAAGAGCTGCTGAGGCATAGACAGAGCTTGAAGAAAAAACTGTAAGAACATCTTTTTGTATCTCAATTGCCAGACAGAATAGAATACTAATAGCACTAGGAACTCAGTCTGTAGTTATTCCTTCCCAGCAGTAGTGGGCAATGTGTATATGGTCTGGTTCTTGCCTTGGTGCTGCCACATTTGGTGAGTTCAGGTGTTACTCGTGGGTGTCAGAGAATTTCGATTGCACTTTTCATTACATTAAAAGGCCACAATGAAGCAATGCAACATTTTTTTGACCAAAAAAAAAGTGAGATTATTGTTGCCATTCCTCATGTCTTGGGATCTTACTTGTTCTAGCAAGTAAAACACGTGGCTGATGGTCACTGGCACCACCTTTGGTAAGACACCCAGTGGGTGACTGGGGCAGGCTCTGTGTGTCCTTGTGCAGGGACTCAAGGCTTGGTTGCTTCCAAAGTCATACGAGGAATTCCAGTACATCCTTAGGAAATGTGTGAACTTTATGCCAGAAGACCAATCTTGCTTTCAGAAGATTTGTGCTCCCAAACTGATCTCTTCACCCTCTCTCACAGGAGACTGCAGGATTTCATGGATGATGAGGCAGAGCTGTCGGGGAGTGACGTGGGCAGTGAGGATGAGTATGATGGGGAAGACCTGAACGAATATGAAGAAGAGAAGATCGATGAGGAGCTCCCCAGTGAGGAGGAACTGGGAAACCAAATACAGAGGTTTCACATGTGAGTGTGAGGCTCAGCAGGCTGGGGCTGTCCGGGCCATGGCCCTGGCACAGCCCGCTGAGCTGTGCCCGTCTCTGGTGCTGGCAGGAAGGCAATGCTGGACCATGACAAGCGCCAGCTGAGGCTGTTCCAGGAGCAATACCTCCCGGATGGAGATCTGCACAGCGACGGCCCCGGCAGGACCAGGAGGTTCAGGTGGAAAAATATCGGTGAGCTGTGACCCAGAGCCATTACCAGAGGGGGGAGAGGTTGGAACAGAGAGTGAAATGTAAACCTCCGTGTTCCCAACCAAAGTACTTCAGGAATAAACTGGGTGGTTCTGGTTTCGGTTTGGTTGGGAGTTTTTTGTCTGGTTTGGTTGAGTTTGGGGTTTGGCTTTTTCGACTAGTCTCTGTTTTTAAAGGGATAGCTAATTCTCTTGTTTCTTTGCCTAGATTTTGCTTCGCAGATGGATTTGTTCCAGCGAGACTCGGAGGATGAGGAGGACAGTGAGCAGCTGGACGAGGCCGAAGCCAAGTGGAGGAGGGAGCGGTTCGAGCGGGAGCAGTGGCTGAGGGAGCAGGTACTGCTGAGCAGCAGGAAAGGCTTCCCTCTGCCTCTGTCCTGCTGGGGCTGAGACTGTTCCTCAAGCTAAGCTTCACTGCTGGCTCAGATTCCTCAGCTGAACGTTGTGCAGTTTGGTAATGGAATGAGGGTCCTAAAGTGTCTATGAAACTGCAACAAACTTCAGCAAAAACTAATAGTAAATTAGTTTGTACAAAGGAAGGACTTGGACTACTTAACACACTGATTGAAATGTTCATTCTCAACGTGTTTTCAGCTGTACAAAGTGTTTTCTCCCTTCTGCAGAAGGAAAAGAATAAGGAGGAGGAGGAGGAGGAGGAGGAGGAAATCGGGGAAGACAGTCAGTTCATGAAGCTGGCGAAGAAAGTGACTGCCAAATCCCTGCAGAAGAAAGGTGAGCTCGGTTTTTTATGGAGTGACAGGCAAATGAGGGAAACAAAGAGCTGACAAACTGACCTTTGCTGTGTCCCTACCAGCCAGCTCAGCAGTGGTGGCACAGGACTCAACCCTCCTGCCCAGGAACCCATTTGATGCCTTCAGACCTGCCAGGGACACCCAGGTGGGTATTTCCCCACACAGCCCAGTCAGCTGCCCCTGGATTCTGGGTATTCCTGCTTTGTGCTGCGGCAACATTTGAGTAGGGAGTAAGTTTGTTTGGTGAGTTACTTGTAATAGCAAACGTCTTGTTCCTGCGAGTGGTTTAACACAGCTTTTCTTTGCCCTGCAGATAAAAAATGGGTCTCTCCTGAACAGGCCTCAGGCTATGCTTCAGAAACTAGCAGCCATGTCAGATCCCAATCCAAATGCCCCTCGAAATTCAAGGAATTTTGTCTTTCATACACTTTCCCCAGAGAAGTGCGAAGAGGCAAAGGAGAAATCAAAGCTCCAGGTACAGATTTTTGGGTGCCAGTTCTGTAGACTGTTTGGACACAGACACTGAGCTCTGCCAAGCAAAGAGCACTGCAGCCTTGAGTATTTCTCACTCCAAATAGTTCTCTCCTAACTCAGAAGTTAAACCCTTTGGAGATATTGTGTGTTCTGATGTATCTCACTCTCCTCAGGTGAAGAAGAGAGTTCCCCCTGCAGTGATCACCTCTCCGGCCAAGAGGCCCAGGATGGAGAGTGCAGAGGGAACCGCTCAGAGCCGAAGCATATTCCAGTACTTGGAGAGCTGAACTTTCCCATCCAGGACCAGAGGTTGTGTCTTTGCCAGCTGCAGTTTTTCTTGCCAAGCTGCCAACACTCCCAGGCAGGGAAACAAACTGCTGCCACCTCATTCACGAGTGCCAGCAATTTCCAGGCACTGGTTTTGTGTGTTCCTCTTGGGTTTTTATCAGTTCTCCATGGCAAGTGGGAGCACAAAATCCATTCCTGGGCTGGAAGCTCCCCAAGCATTAAGGAAGCTCACACGACTGTGTGCTGCCCTGCAGGTGTTGCAGTGGTGTCAGTTCCAGCTGGAAATGCCATTCCTGATGCAGGTGTGACAGAAATGCCTCAGTTAGCTGCAAGCACGAGACAGGAGGGATTTCTGCAGCTCTGGGGGAGAAGGAAGCAGTGTTGGCTGGGGCAGGACACTTGTTTACACCTGCAGCACAAATTTTAGCTGTGCCTTCCTCCAGAGTCTCATTTTATCTAATGTTAAGCATTTATTAAGCTTCACCTTTTAAGAAGCTCTAATTTATCTTTGCAATGTTTACTCTTAAGAAAAGGTCCCAGGCTCTCCTGGGGCAGTGTCAGAAGGGTTTTTTCCAAGATTTTATTACTGATGATATCCTTAAGCAGATGAATGTGTGTGTGGAGAGGGACGAATGTGACTAACAGAGGTGGGAGAAGGGGTGTGTGTGGGATTTTACTTGCTTTGGTGGGGGGAGTTGGTTGCTTTGTTTTGCTTTGCCCAACTTCAGGCTGTCCTAAGTCATCCATTCCGTTGTTTTCATGGAAGCTGCACTTATCCAAGAGAAATTATTCCTTCCTGAGCAGCCAGCAAGGAAAGAACTGCTCTGGGATGAGGAACTCAACTGTTCTAAACCTGAGAGAGAAACTTGAGGCAGAACATAAGTAATTTCTGACGTTTCTGGCCGTGTGCTGAGGGTGTCAGAGAGCAGCTCGTGTGCCCCAGGGGCTCTGTGAGGCCAAACATCTCTGGGGTGCCAGCACTGCTGTCCTGAGCTGTACATTTTGTGGTACCCTGAGCACGTCCTGCTGTGCTGTCTGTAAAATACTTCATTGTACATTCTGTTCATAAAGACTTAAGGTGCTAAGGGAAGTGCAACACGACAATAAAACATGGATTTAATTCTGGAGGCAGTTGGAATTTCTTTACAGGTCTCACTCAGTTGTAAACATGTCTGGGTTTTTTTTTTCCCCCCAATATTTTTGTCATTAGAATGTATTTCCAGCCATTCTAATGAGCTGGAATTTGGGATGGGAATTTTAGGGATGAGAAATGACCTTTGCTCCTTTGTTATCAGATGATTTGTCACGGTGTTTCTGTGCTCTGTAGGTTGTCCTAATTCAGCACAGATTTATTGGGTACAAATATTCCGAGCTGTGAAATTCCCTTCCTTTGGTGACTCCGTGTGCCACTAGAGAGCAGCAAGAGAATGTGCTTCCTCTGGCAGGATCATTAAAGCTTAAACTGTGCTCTTGACTCCAGGGGAAATTCTTGCAGTTTTCCATGCTGTGGCACTGCAAAGGAGTAAATTTATAGAGAGACCTATAATTGCTGCGTTTTTGCCTTGGAAAGTGTAGCTTAAGAACACCTTGACAGGGGAGGCTGAGCCCTGGTGGCTTCTCCTCAGCACTTTATAGCCATAATTATGGCTTTTATTTTGCTTCCCCTTTAGAATTTTCCCTTTAAAATGCATTTTCCTTATTCCAGAGCCAAGAGCAGAAAAATACTGTTGGGGCTGAGAAGCTTATAAATGGAAACACAGAGCCTGGGAAGGTTTCTGGCTGCATTTCCCCCACCACAACCTTGCAGAAGTTCAGGGGTTGTGGGTTGCTGCTAGAATCACTGCACTGCACCCCAGAAATTCCTTGCTTAGGAGGATATTCCACGCCCTGGAATGAGACCAGAGGCGAGTTCTGCAGGACGGTTGAGCCACATGTTGAGATGCTGCTGCTGCTCATCGTGTCAGACTTGGTCTTCCTGCAGGGCTGAGAGCTGTGGCTCTGGGCCTGACCCTCACCTGTGTTCCCACCTGTGCCTCCCATCCATCTCCTCCCCCAGGAGGCTATTCCAGGGCTGCCCCTCCCTCCTGTCTGGCACATTCACTCAGCTTTGCCTTCTCATTTTCAGGGATCGATGCAGCTCACCCCTCCTGGCACTGACATGAGGCCACTGTGCTAATGCTGCAGCTGGCAGTGCCAAGAGGGCTGGGAAGGAGGGAATGACCCGGGGCAGGGAGGGGTGAGGGTCCTGCACCCAGCAATGCTGCAGCTCAGCATGGGCAGAATCTGCTCAGAGGTTGGACTCGATCCTAGAGGCCTTTTCCAGCTGAAATGACTCTGTGGAGACATCCTGTGCTGAAGGAAGACCTGCTCTTTCTGCACTGCTTTTTCCTTCTGCCTGAACCTTGGAATAACTCTGAGCAGTTAGTTGGGACCTGTGATGTTTGGGTTTGGTGCAGAAGTGGCTGCAGCCAGGCAGGACATGGATTTTCATCCAGGTTGGGAAGCTCTAACAATAACATCTCTCTGTGCCTCAGTTTCCCTTCCCACACAGAGGAGAGGAGGAATAAAACCTTTGGCATCTGAGCTCCTAATCCATGACTGTCCCATAGGAGCCTCGATGAGAGCAGTGCTGCTAACACACACTATTTATTACCCACTGGGTCTGCTTTTAGGAGCCCAAATGCTAATGAAGAAATTATGAAGAGGACTCTAAAGCAGAGGGGGGAGAGGCCTTGGGTGTGAGGCACAGGTTGACATTGCAGACACGTCTGTACTGCAGCTCCCGCCGCTGCTCCTCGGGGCTCCAGGCACGCACTGAATTATGTTTTCTGCTCCTTTTTTTGCCAAGAGACTGAAAGGGGGAGAGAAAAAAAACTATTTGTTTGTCTTGTCTAATTTAATTTATGTTATTTATCAAACAGACAGGTTATTTGGGAAACCAGATGGACCCAGGCTAAAATCATCTGTATTTCCAACATGTGAGAAATGATGGTGGAGTGGACACACAGAAACGGTGTGGGGCAGGTTTGGGGAGCTCTGCCCACGCCAGCTCTGCCCCTCCTCGGCCCTGGGCCTCTGGTCAGTTGTCCCAGAGCCCACGTGAGGGCTAAAGGACACAAAGACCCCCAGGCACCCCTGGGCTGTCTTCCAGAGCAGCCACGTCATGAGTATTCCCCTCCCTGCCTTTCACCCTGCTCTTGGCTGGGGCATCCCTTCCCCAGCGAGGGATGGGGCAGGTTTTGGGGACTATAGAAGCATTTTCAGCATGTGCTGGGTCTGGGAATGGAGCAGGGGGTGGTTTTGGTGTCTGTTTCTTTGGGTTCTCATTGGAGAAGGAAGCAGCAGACAGGGAGAAGCAGGGATAGCTAAGTCTAACTGATATGGCATTGATCCTTCAAGAAACACAAAACTAGACAGGAATACAGCAAAACCAAGAGCCTTCCACTTGGGCCAGCAGCAGGCTCAGAAGTTCCTCCTGAGAGAGCAGCCCGGGCACAGCTCTGCTGCTGCATTATCCACCATGAGCTTGACCATGGCCAAGCTCCTGGCAGGGGGAAGAGCTCCATGAGACCTGCAGGGCTGGGCCTAGGGAGTGCCTCGCAAGGCAAAAGTTTCATTCTGTATTGGCCATTATCCCTTGATTCCAGAGCTGCACATGCTCCATGGGACAGATGTTTAGTCCTTGGGGGCTGTTACTCTCTCTCTGGTCTCATCCAGGAGCCCAAGTTAGGGCTGACTCCAGCTCTACTTCTGCAGGCAGCAGATCTAAACTAGCTGTAATTAAAGAGAGCAACATAAAGGATTGCAGTGCAGGGGGAGGGAGCAGGAATCTTCCTGCTTTGCAAGAGATTAATTTTATTTTTAGCTAATATTTTTCCTCTGCTCCTCAAGGCTGTTTTCCTGCAACGCTCTCTGTGCTGCTTCCCTTGCAGTGGCCCATTGATTTTCAATATTTGATGGTGTTTGTGCACGCAGCCACGAGGGATCAGTGTCTGAGGCACATCCACGTGTGTCCTCACTCTCCTGGCACCACAAACGCCTCCTGCGGTATCCAAGCCCTCACCTCTGCTTTGGGGGGTCTGCACTGGGGGTCCTGCCGCATCCCAGCGTGGCTTGTTGTGGTGCAGACACCCCAAAGAGGCACCAGCAGCTGCTGCAAGAAGGTCATTCAAGCAACAGGCAATGAAACCTGCCGTGCGGTCCCGATTCCACCGGCGCCGCGCGTGGTGCAGAGCAGCCAGGATGATCTCACGGGCAGTGCCTGTTGCGTTGGCCTTTCCTTCACCTACGGATTTGCCATGTGTGTGTGATTTGCAGAGCCAGGACAACATGAGCCCCAAAGTATGATAACAGCTCCTGAGGTGTCACTGCAAGCAGCTCCCAGCCCGACCCACCGCGGTCACCCCGTCCGTCCCCTTCTTCTGCCAAGGGAAAAGGAAGGAAGGAAAGATCACACAGAGTCAACACAGTTGGCTAAGATCCCTGAACATCTGCAGGGGTAAAGGCAGGGCTGGAGGAGCTGGATTTGGTACCCCTCAGCCAGCACAGAGACTCCAAACCCTACTGGAGTCCAGAGGGGTTGGGATTGGTCCCAGCACTGGAGCCCATGGCTCCTGCTAAAGCCTGTGGAGCGAGTCTGCAGCTTGAATGGAGACTGGAGACGTCAAAGCAAACCCCACGGCGGTTTGGTGATGACTCCAGCCTGGTGAGGCTCCTGTGCAGCTGTGGCTTTAGGGAGAAGATCCAGTGCCTGGAGCTGTGCCGTGGTGCCCATCAGAGGTGCAGGAGCTCAGCAGTAAGATCCTCACCCAAAATTCACCAGAGCCGCTCACGAGGGCGTGAGGCCAACGAGATCCCCAGCAGTGGGGACAGGCAGAAGGGACTTTGCTCCCTGCTCTGCCCCAGTCTCCCCACCCTGAGCTCTGGGGTCGGCGCGGCCGAGCCGGAGCCACGCGCACATCCTGTGAGGGGAAGAGCCCAGTTCCCAACATCTGCTTGG